TTTTTTTGCTGAAGAGCAAATGGGCGGTTAATGGCCTTGCTAAAGGTTGATTGTATTTTTTTTCTTTTTAGCATATTAATTCACTTCAGCGAAATCATGGGAGCAATACTATAAAAGTATTTGAAAAGCTATGTACAGAGAGGCAAGAGATGACAGTTTATGAAATGTTAGCCATATTCAATGATATGGAACGGGCTGATGTCTTTGAAATACTGAAAGATTCTGTCACAGGTGAGGGTGCATGACTACCTTATGTTGCAAGGGGTAGGACATCTCTGAGGGAGAGACATCAAATACATTTGTTAAAAAATAAAGCTTACAGTTTCAATGTTGTAATATCAACATTTGAACCACTCGGCTATGAAAAGAATATATTTTCTCCTGTGTAACTGTTGATTGATGATGAAGGCAATTTTGTTCAGAATTTACTACCAATGATGGAGAGGTTTGATAGACATGTCCTGTGACTTGAATTATTTTTAATGCAGAGTTCATTGAATTCATATTTTTTCATCCGTTCATGGTATCATATTCAACTTATATTTGATCAACATTGATTTGCACAGTTTAAGAAAAAAAATTGAGAAAAGAATTCTTGTGATATGTTTCAGAAATCAAGAAACAAAAAGAAAATCGCTCATCACTAAATTATCTTCCATCTGGTCAGCAGCACACAGAAGCTTGTACATGTCATAGTGGTCAGTTTGCCAGGCCAGCATGTGAAGATGGAATACCTATACCACCCAAGAGAAAAAAACATCGGGGGAGTTCTCCTCCAGACCAGTTGGGTGTAGTCAGCAGCTCTGTGGACAGTGATGGTGATGTTATGATGGACAGTCTGGGCAATGATGTTTCAGGTATGCAGCAACATCACCATCAGCAGCATCAACAACAACAACAAGACATGGACATAGACATTGCAATGATGCATGATTTGAGTAGTTATGGTGATCCTTTGCTTAGTGATTACAGCTTGCATGTGTGTTCTAATGGAAGTTTGCCTCCTGTCACCTCTTTCCTGTCTGGGCCTGAAAACATGGCCTTAGCTCCTTTAGAATCTGGCAGTATTGTACCCCTGGAAGTTGGCCTGGCACGCACAGCTAACAATCATCAGCCAGACAGCTACAGCAGTGAAAATACAAGTGAGGTCAAACCAACCTCTTTGAACCGTCCTATAGAGCCTTGCAAGCATCCACAACAATCAGGACCTACCGGTACCAGCATTCAGTTTGATTCCACCTATGTCCAACCCACTTCATTTAGGAGGCCTCAGGTTGTTCCAAACAGTGATATAACCAATGGCAACAAGCCCCCTTTTACATATCCAAGGAGACACAAGCCTAGTAAACCTGACTTGAAGCCTCTTCCTACCTGGCAGTGTGACATGCGACATAGGACTTTGACTCACTCCCTTTCTGAGCCTAAAGATATGCAGCCGAAAGAATACAAGACAGGTAAACTTGTCAAATACAGACCTTATGGCTGAGTAGTCATTTGTTATCTCAAGCCATGGGTATGTGACTGTCAACACCCAAACTAATGACTCCAATCATGATTTCATGGCGCGAACAAAAAACTTGTTGTTGCATGCAAATTGTGACCTGTCAATCACCTTCCTGTTCTGTATGTGTCAGAGCTTGTCAAGAGTGATTAGTTCTGTATTAATAGTTTACAGTTGAGAAAAAGAACTTGTATGTTAACAGAAAAAAACTGGCCCAGGGATAAAAGCTGGCCAAATTTTTTGCACTCTTTTATGCAATGCTCTCAACAAGTTTTTATCTTCACGCCATGAAATTGAAGGGGCATTAATTCAACATTCGCGATCACATATCTCTGGCTCGAGATCACAAATGCCAATTACTGTTTATAAGGCCTGAAATAACTTCTGAAATTTCTTGTTGCATATTTACAAGAGGCACAGGCTAGCAGATAAATTTTACACATTTCACAGGCTTAAAAAGATTATTTGGCTTAAATTTAAAATAGAAATATTGAATGCTTTTCATAGTTGAGTTGTTAAAATTTTGATATGAATGGGGGTTGTATGAATTTTGAGAACAAGCATATGACACAGTTGAGGAAAAAAACATTGGCTGCACATTTAATGCTCTTTCTTTTTTTTTCTTTTTTTAAAAGAAATACCCAATATGTGCATGAATGAAACTCTGAGTGATTGTCTGACAACAGGTACATTGTTGTGAAGCAAACAGTCAGATATCATTTATTCAGTATTTATGTTATGATTTGCTTGCATATGGCCCTATAAATCTTTTTTTTTTTTCTTAATGTATAATCATATTTTCAAAAAAATGAAAATTATATAGTGGCATTATGCATGCAGTTATTGCCATTCCCAATAAATATTGTTCTAAGTAGATCAATCCAACTGCACAGGGACTTGCTGAATGCAATCAGATAAACAGATTAACTCAACTCTTGTTTCTGTCATACTCGTATAATCACCAACTTTTCTGTTTTCTACTCAATGCCAGGAGGCATGTTAATATGTTCATGTGCTTTTATTCAGTGAGGGTCCCTGCATAGTTGGATTGATCTACACAGAACAATAGCTTCACTGGGAACGAGCTCATCTAGTTTGAGTTGAGTTTGTATGTGTTTCTGTTCCTATTACTCTCAAAATGATTCTGATTGAAATTTATGTTGTTTTGCCTGGTCAGTTGATGTGCCCTAAATGTTTTTCAACACACGTGATCATATACATATAACATACACATGAAAGTTTTTTCATCATTTAATGCAAACCGTCACTGATATTTCCTAATTTGTAAAACTTCATCTAATAATGGAACATACATAGTATTGTTTTCATAATTGAAAATGGCTTCTTTATTTTTCACTTGAGTCATTACTATGTATTCATCATTAAAAAAAGTTTCACAAATTTTAGTACAAATAAGACTACTGGTAACATTTCATTATGGTTTAAGGGTTTTATTTCTTAGCATTTTTTAAAGGCAAACATTCTGTTTTCATAGTATTATGATGCATTTGTTATGCTAGAGGTACATGCTGAACAAGATAAAAATATTATAAACCGTTCAGTAATTTAGCAGTTATCTCATGTTCTCCCAGTTGTTTTCATATGATTAGGTGTCCTCAATTCTGGATCATATCTTTTGAGAATCTTGGAAAATTAAAGATAAAGCTCTTGTCACATATTAAGTTACAGAGTACTTCCTTGAAAACCAACCATCTGGATCTTATTGAATTGCATCAAATCAAGTGGATACCTGTATTGCCTGTTAAAACTTCCATTATATTATAGCCACATAGGAAGCTGTTGGTTGGAGAGGGGGGCTAACCATTCAGAAAGATTAATGAAGGGGATTCTCTTAGGCCCACCCCCATTCCTGTTCATATGACTGAAGTGGTTGAAAATGGAGAGGGGGACTTCTTCTCATACCATGTTAAGCCTCTGCCTCATGGAAATTCAGTTAAAAGTTAAATGAGAATCCAATTTGATTGAGAGTTCACTTTATTGAGAATTATTGAGAATTCAGTGCATTCATTCAATTTTTAGAATGTCATTGACAAAATACTTGTTTTAATTTGTTTTGTTTTGTTAATTTGTAGAACATTGGATATTTTCTTTTTCTCAGTTGAGAGGAAAACCAGAGTCCTGGTGACATACACAGATGACAATGAAAAACACCTGAAACACATGATAAGCCTAGCAAAGTGCCTCAAGGACAATCAATTTGCAGTGATAATGGACATCAATAAAAGAGAAAATGATGAACTCTATGATGATATGTGTGGGAAAATTGACAAATATTTTGAAAAGGTATGTGTGTAGTAACCCTTTCATATTTATTTCAATTCCTGAACATATGTCAGAAAAAAAGAAATGTATATATTAAAATGGATAATCTTATTCAATAACAGTCCTGAGAAAAATGTTTTGAAATGTTTTTATTGAAATAAGGCATTCTGGATCTTATACGTAATTATCATTTCTGTTAGATATTCTTGAAGATTTGCCTCTGAATAATAGCCTAAATTAAATTTTTGCATTTTACAGGCAAATTATATATTGATTTGCATAAGTCCAAAGTACCGACAAGAAATGGAAGAAGTAGATGATGAGGATGACCAGTTTCTGAGCGGTAGCACAGTATGCCATAGACTTAACACAAGATACATCTACAAACTGATGCAGGGAGAATTCCGCAACAACAACTCACAAAACAAACGGTTTATCCCAGTCTTGTTTCCAAATGCCACGAAGCATGACATACCAGGGTGGCTCCTAAACACTCTTTATTACCGCTGGCCAAATGAATGGATGGATTTGTTCATGTTTCTTTGGCGACCTGATCGTGAGTTTTTGGACAGTAAAATTTCATCAGTCAAGTCTAAGTATGACCAGGATGAGTCATTGCAAAGTGTTCCTCTATCCCCACAGAGTACAAGTAGGAGTGGCAGTCAGTCCAGTTCCTGTAGCTCCCCAGGTTCAGCTGGACGCTTACCAAGAATTAAGAAGGAGAACACTTGATGCTAACTCACTGTTTCTTTATTCCTAGGTATGAAACAGTTACACCTCCCCATAGGAAAGATAAGGTTCAAGAGTAGAGAAGGAGACCACAGGTATTAACTTGCTGTTCCCTTCTCTTCCTTACTCTAAGTATGAAATACTATCACTTGTACCTGTATGTCCGTTGAGGATGGGAGTAATGGTTTCCCAAAGATAAGGAGAATATGTAATATTGATCAAATTGATTCAAATAATAGTGAATCACATCCTGGGAAGACTTAAAACAAAAATGTCAAGCTTTTAGCTACAGATGTAATAAGGATTACAGGAGTGATGTGATAGACCTTTCAATTTCAGAAATTGACTAAAAAAAACATTTTTATTTAATATCAGTTTTACACATTTGTTACCTCCTAATCATTATGTCCAAGCACTGGTGAACTATAAGCATTTTATAGTTGTTGTGTGTACATATATTTTGTGGCAGCAGACATTCAAAACTGAAGCAGCAAGGCCCTCAGTATACAGGTTTTACTTTAAGCGCCAATGCATATAGATATGTTTTGCTTCATATGGAAATGATACTTTGATAACTTAACCTTCATTTGGGTTTTATTTTCATTTGTTCCATGAAGAGCTCTTTTTTTTGTTCACTAGAAAACCAATTTATTATTAATTTTCTTGGAGGAACTCCTTCACACCTGAAAGGTTTTTAAAGGGTTACCTCCTCTGTTGAAGTTTATATTATCTATTTAAATATGTCATAGCTCGAAAAATGTTTATTAAGATCAATAAAATCTAAGAACTGAAAAAGAAAAATCGTTAAAAGAAAACATATTTTTCTGATCACTTTTTACATGTGGTTTGGGGGTTTATGTTTTCGCATATTGTGACAGAAGATGTATGTGCAGAGTACAGTTCGGACAGTTGCATCATAGACTAGTTGAAAACTTGAAAATGCTCTCTTGCTTACTGATTAGTTTACAAAGGCCAATTGTTGTAAATGCATACTTTAAGAATATATAGCTCCATAAGCTAAAATCAGGCTGAAAAAAGGCCTTTATATAATTATTGTTGTTATGATATTGCATATAATGTTCATGGACTTTATTTGTCTTCACTTAATGTATGGTTATTTTGTCAGTGATGGCTTATCAGTGGTTTGGGGGCAAATTTGAGATATTTGGTTACATGATTTTTTCTATTACCTGGCCTCATATCAGAAAAAATTCCAGAGGCTAATACTGCGATAGTGACTGTGCATGAGAACTGTACAAAGGGATGCAAGTGATTTTCTAACTCAGTTAAGATCTTAGAATTATACAAATTTTCACTGGACCTTTGTAAATTAGACCACCTAACATGGGTAAAAAAAATTATTATAAAAATCTGCCACACCAAGTTGTTCTTCATACCTTATCAGTAACTACAATTTTGGTGATTTCCATCAGAAAGCGGCTATTGAATTATCCCCCAAACCATTTGTTATTTACAGCCAATTGGTATTATATGGTTCTAGGCACTTCAATAGATTTAAATAACACCTGAAGACAATGCCAGCTCTATCAGTTATCAATTTTTCATCAGCATAGTCCCCACAATGAGTAACCCAATAGCATCACCTAAATAAGGAGAAATCTTGGATTCTGTGTATTATTTTGCACTTCAAAACAAACTTCCCTATATTAGGGTATATATTCTTAAGTAGATTTACTCTCAATTTTGTTGCTTTTCGCTAATCATTTACTCTACATTAATTTTCCAATTGATTAAAATATAAGGGTTCCCCTAAAAGATCCAACTAGCTGGTAATTTTCCAATTGACTAAAATATAAGGGTTCCCCTAAAAGATCCAACTAGCTGGATTTGAGGGCCTTTGTTTTGGACTACCCTGACCACACCCACTACTGAAATACGACAGACTACGATTTTCATACATAGGTAAGCATGTAGGTTATTGCCAGGTACAAGAAAATTGGTGATTTTTTTTATCATGCTCAACCCTCTGAGATCCTGGACTAATAAGGAATTATTGACTAAAGAGATGTATTTACTTCTATGCATAACCATCTTACTTGCAAGAGGCTTGTATTTTATGACAATCAGAATAAAATGTTAATATGTGGCACCTGGTGTTTTATGTATCATTCTAGAAAGAGAGGTTTGCTTATTACAATGCATGTATATAGGTATGTGTATTGTGTTTATTTATTTTGACATATTAGCCAAACTGATGTCAATAAAGATAAAGTTTGTATTGATGTGTGCAGTAATAGAACTTGGCTTCACATGTAGGACTTCTATTAGCTGTCTCCTATGCATTTTTTTTTTATTATTATTTTGTAAACTGTGTTGTGTTTGAGGGCTTTTTTCTTTTCTTTTTTTATCAGCAGAAAATTAAGGAAGTGTATAATTGTATTAACTGTAGAACATATTTTAATAGTATGAGCACAAGTATATTTTACTAAAGATGGCGGTATAAAACTGTAAAACATTGTTTGCATTATAATTGTGTTTACTTAAATTTTCCCTTTTTTATGAATATATGAAAGTCTATTTTCTATTGTTACCTTTATTGTACCTGATAAACTGCACACTGTTCTAAAAAAAAGCTGGTTTATTAAATGTACTATAGTGTCTTTTAGAATAAAAATCTTCTGAAAAAAATTAGTTATTTTTATTTAAAATATTTGCGTGTTTTGGTTTACTTCTTTTATGTCAAATGCATGAAAATGGAAACTACAATGGATTTGATTTCATAGGTCAGTCATATAACTAAGGGTAAAAGCCTAATTTTGGTATAAGGGGGTTGTGGGGCGTCAGTTGCGGCTTAGACTACAAGATGCACAGCACATGTAGAATTTAAGTCCTTACTCATATGAGAAGATTAAGCGAGATCATTTTGTGGTCTTTTGGATATATTTACTATTCTGTTTACTAGAATTTCTGTACCTTTAAGCAGTAGACCTATCATTTTAAACACAGGGACCTAATGATATATCAATCGGACGTCGTAACAGCACCATGATTGCGACTGTTGAGAATACTACATTGTGACTTCGCTTTTCTCTGTTTCACTGTGTTCGTAGGATTGTGATAGCAAAGACCCAGATAATTAATTAATGATGGTGAGAAAAGGAATGTCATGGCTAGGGAGTGGATGCTTAGGTAGATGGATTTAAGTACTATTTTGACCGCTGCTGCAAAAACTGGAACACGTGTTGGCATGCGTTTGCACTCCTATATTTACATTTTTTGGTATGTGCTATTACAGTAAATATAAAAAACGAAGATAAAAAATGCCAATGCGTATAGAAACATACGTTAAACGTAAATGAAAGTGTAAACGCATGATTTTTAGTGCTAAAACACGTTCGGACGACACGTCCTTGATAATAAAATGAATGCAAAGAGACACAAGACTAAAGCACATATAAAAAACGTAAATAAAAATATTGAAGCATGACATTTCTTGTTAGGTCGACTCAAGCCTTATTAATTGCACTTGTATTAAAATCAACTTAACAAGTCTTATTGAAGATAACACGATACAGTGGGGGTCATAGCTCCGATCAGGCTTCTGCACATTTTTATACAATCACTGAAAATTTCTTAATTTTTAATGTGAATACATCATTGATTAATTTGATCAAATTTATATAATTTGTGTTTTTATCATGGGTGCACCAAACAGACTAAATGGGGGAGAACGTCACTTTTTGGGGCATATAATGACTAAAATGATCATTTCTGTAGTTGTTCGCAGTGATTTTCTGCGTATTTTCATCACTTCAGGGGGTTAACTAGAGAAGCGGCAACCGGATTTACTATTTGTCACTTTAGATCGACCTAACTCCCTGGGGGCTCACGCTAAATAGCTGTCAGCCGAGCGGACACGAAAGTTAATTACCCCCTTACAGCTTGTAGTAGGCGGGAAGGACATTTAAGCCGGATTATCTGACAGTAATCTAGTGAGACTCCCCGCGGGGATAGATCGATCTAAAAGCTCTGATAATGCAGCCTAGAAGTTATGTAAGGCTCTATTCCCATAGATTTAGATTGATCTATCCCCGCGGGGAGTCTCACTAGATTACTTTCAGATAATCCGACTTAAATGTCCGTCCCGCCTACTACAAGCTGTAAAGGGGGTAATTAACTTTCGTGTCCGCCCGGCTGACAGCTATTTAGCGTGAACCCCCAGGGAGTTAGGTCGATCTAAAGTAGGTCGATCTAATCTATGGAAATGGGGTGTAAGCCTGTCAGTCGCAACTGGGGCCCTTTTTTCGAATGCTCACTTATTTTGCCACATTTTATATTTCTTTCACAAATTAACCGAACATTTAGCAGAAGCTTTCATATTGTATTTTCACAGCAACTACGTAGTAGGATAGCCTTTTAGAAACATCGGAAGCTTTTTATATAAAAGAGAAGTACATTAAAGATATCATATCCTAGATTTTCCCGTCAAAAGACTTTTTCTTGAAAAAAGTAATTTTCACCGAATCTCGAATAATTGTCCTTGCACTAGGATATGCATGTAATATACTGAAAGTCAATGAAAACGCATCATTTATTTATCAAATAATATTTTAAGTTCCTTTGGCACATTTAGAAAATAACAGTTTTCATGTGAAATATGAGCCATTATTCAGTCACACAAGGTGAAATAAAGGTCAGAAAAGATAATTAAAAAAAGATCATTAAAATGCAAAGTTACGTGATCAAATCTCTTTGGTTCCGCCCAGCCTCCAGTATCCCCAGGGCCCGCAGTCGCTCTTCCAGTGTCAGACGTGGCATCACAGAACTTTTTTGTCATGTGTCATACTGGATTTGGTGACTACCTTAAATATGCTTAATTAATCACCATATAGTGAGCCTGATTAATTCACACCAATTAGGAAAAACACATGATTTTGTAACAGCTGATCACAAAATCACTGAAGCGGAAATTTTAAAGATCCGAGTAGCCAGCCCACTCTCTTATGACCAAACAAGTGCATTTGTAGTTTTGTACAATGGTTGGAATCGATTCTCGGTAAAAGTACAAGACTACAAAAGTACAAGAAAGTTTTCTGATGCGTTTTCATTGACTGTCAGTATAGATGCTTAAATCCAAAATGTTTTCGCCATATCTTCCTGCATATTCCAGAAGGATATATCAACAACAGATACTTTCATATTTGACGGGTTTTAATATTTTTATATCTGAATTACAGGACATAAAAGATACACACACTGGACAATGAATTCACCCCCTGAATCAGAGTAATCAAAGTTATTAACCTGAAGAGGCGGAATATAAGCAATGTCAGAATATCGAAACAGTTGAATTGTTCAGTCAGAACCGTTTTTTTTTTTTTTTTTTTTTTGTGAAATTTGATGTTAATAAAATGATACCAGGAGCATATCATTCCACAGTCATTTATCTCCCCCAAAGTAATGGTTCAGTAGGGGTGACACTTCTATTGTCCAGTGTGTATAGGAAACATGACTTTGGGACGGTTTCAAAGGCGGACATTATACCTTTTAATCTTAATTTAGTGGCGTTTTCGATTTTTTCACTGACAAGCAAAAGTCCAGTTCTCATCAAAAAGGATTCAAAGAGCATTTAACTTTTTAAAAATTCGGCAAGTCCGAACCGCAAAGCATCTCTGAATATGAATTTTGGCATTATTTCCATCTTTTATGATTAAATGTTTTAAAGGTGCCAGGTTTCTAGTTATATAAAGCTAAACGCTAATGAGTAACATAACATTTGTTCCTAAAAATGGCCTTCTTTACTTTTAACATTAATCGCTCGCTGGAAAATTTTATATTTTGGTGTTTTGATTAATATAAAATATAAATACATTAAAATGATACGAACAGTACGTCATTTTTTTGCATTTTATTTGAGCACAAATGTTTAGTTTCGCATCGGAGCTTTCATACAAGATGCCCTGCAGGCACCAGTCTTCACACTTGGCTTATCAATAAAAGAGTTGTTATTCATTTGAATGATTCCTCCAGGGCAGTCACGGTTGTAGACTTGTAGTCATTGGCTCCGCTTGTTTCCAGCCAATCCGATTGAAATCAAATCATATTCCAAACCATCAAACAGCTGGAAATACTGTGCGACTTAAACACTGTTTGCGGGTGCTTGGAAAAGTTCAAACCACAGAAGGTTGTCAATTCTCCCAAAACTTCCCTCCGCCCATATTCATATTTTGTCACATTCATTTCTTGGAATAGCAATTGACAAATAAAATCACTTAGCCATTAATTATATTAGATAAGTCATACTAAATGGAAAAACAAACTATTGTTTTAAACATTGAGACAATTAAGCCAATAATCTTTCAGATTGTTATTTTGATGCAAACAAGGCAACCAGAAAGCTGCAAATGAGGATGACTAGAGACAGAGTCCAATTGACGACTGTCCCACTAGTGGTTGCCTCCAGAGAGGAGGCTGTAGTTCCGGCATTGGGATCGGTACCGTTGCTAGTATTATTGACTTGAGCTTTAGTTAAATCTGAAATAATATATAGTATTTATTGCATAGTGTACAAGTACGCCAATACAGGATGACTTGTACGTGGCTAATATAAGAAAATAAATAACTATTAACTCCTTTTTGCCAACCTCCGTTTGCTTTACTTTCGGAATACAACTATTATATTTTTTTCTTTACAGTTCATAACGTAACAGCTTCTAATCATTGTATTTTGCACCAAAAAGGAAACGTTAAAAAATACAAACGCTTGAATTTTTGCACGCAGACAACTTACCGCAGAGTAGCAGTAATGCAAAAGTAAAAGTAGCCAGGACCACAAAGTTCTTCATGATGTTTCTGAAATGATAGAAAATTGTTTTATCACACAACTAGTTTATATCCACAGACGTAAATAAGGTGCTTGAAACACGATTGTCTTGGAAACAGGTAAAGCTTTTATTTTTTGGAATAAGTGAAAACCATACTTTTATATGTCTTTGGTCCCCAGTCAGATGAATTCTCTCTCTGTTGGAAATGTGAGGTGACCGACGCAACACCTGAAGGAAAATATAAGAAAACTGCACCACAGTGATCTTTAAAATTCAAAAGGGTGTAAATATTTTCTATTTGTGCTTGGAAACTATTAGGACGCACATTTGATAAATTTCTCTGACCATTGTTTCTTATCTTAGTCAAATTAACATGGTCTGAATAAATTTGTAAGATATACATTATCGTGAAATCTTAAGTGTTGCTAAGAAGATAAGAATTCGGCGTCCTGTTGCAGTTGTATGCATTTTGTTGACCTCGTTAATGTCTGTCTTACTTGAAAACTCAAATTAATTTGAAACACCAATTAGTTTGAAAATTGAAATTTGCTTTCATTAAATATGTTTTAACCAAGGGTTATCGTTGAAATGACTGGCGATCACGGATTTGTTTCTGCTTCCTCTTAGTGTCCATTAGTTGAAAAAAGTGTAGATATTCTTTTCTTT